GGAATGCCCAGTGCTGTGGGCACCTCTGCTTCAGAAACAAGAAAGATTTTTGTTATTCCTAGTAATGCCTTCCAGAACTACCAAAAGGACTTATCGAATAATTACCGAGGAATTCATCTGAGGTATTCCAGAAAGAAGAAAAACCTAGGTACTAGATGGGGGGCGAGGGAGAGGCACATAGAATGGGACGCAAAAAGGGTAGACCCTCGGGAGGATGGGGAACTGAGAAAGACGCTGGAATTCAGACATGAACTGCTAGTTTCAACGTGTGTCCCCTCCCCAAATTTCTATGCTGATCTGGAGAGCCACTTGTAATGGTGTTGAAAGTGGAGCCTTAATCTAATTATGTCACGCAAGTGGGGACATTTGGGAAGTCATCACATACCAGGTGGAGCCCCAAGATCGAGTCCTGGTGGGCTTCAATGCAGAGACAGAGCTGCTCTGCCCCCACAGTCTGAACATGTCCTCGTACTGCACACGTGACACCGGATGTCTTGTGAAGCCTCAGGGCTCTGCCGACAAGACCATCCCTAGACACGTCCTCTGACCTCCGACCTCCAACCCCGAGCTGTACAAACCTCCACTCCATAAGCTCCCCAGGCTCAGGTCTGTTCTGAGCAGGAGCACACTAGGACATTGGGCAGCAGACCAAACGGAGCTGAGAATGTCAGGAACCAGAGGCACAACGGCTGTGCAGGCGAAATGCACAGACGCGGATTCCACAGCACAGCGTATGTCCTGGTCCTGAGGGGGATGACAGCGTCTCTGAAGTGTCTGCGCGGAGATGCTCAGAAGGACAAAGAACGCTGGTGAGGAAGCACCAGGCTGGCCGCTAAGCCTGTCCAGAGCATAACCCCAAGTCACTCGCCTGCTCCCGTGGTCTCGGGAGGCTGTCAGGAGGAAGAAATCAGGCCGGTAGAAACTGAACCAGCTGAAGACACGCAAGGAAGAAACGCATACACAAAGTGAAGAGGACAGCCCTGCCGCTGGCGCCTGGCCCTGCACGGCTTCCCGCCTAGCTCCCCTGACACCCCACTGGGGACCCCCCAAACACCCGCAGCCGGCTGTCCTTCCCGGACACACTCCGTGAGCTCACGCGAGGCTTTCGGAAAGCCTTTCTCACGGGGCGAGGGCCGTTCCTGGCACACCCGTTTACACATCTGCGTGTGCGCGACGGGTGGCGGCCTTAGAGAGCAGGTGTTCCGGTCCCAAACACCCACCCAGTACTCAGGAACAGCGGAACCCAGGTGTGCGTGGGAGGCCTGTCCAGTGGTCACCTGCCACGCTCTCTTTGCGACTTTCTTTCCATTCAGTCTCTTTACGGGAGCGGGAGCTGTCTGAGGAAGAGCACAGCGCACATCGTGGCAGGCAGACCCCCGCCAGGACCAAGCGAGCGTGCATCCCGGCGGCGCGGCGGGGCGGGGGCGAGGGGGGGGC